GCTCAACCCCTCCTAAAATACAAAAAAAGGACTGTAAATGAATTTTAAAAACTCTGACAATGACTTTCAAGATCTAATTCTCAAGAACAACCAAATTGACTAAAATATATTAATGTTAAATGGGACTTTATCAGCAAAATACACAGCAAGTGGGAGGTGGTCTCCAACAAGAAGCAACGCGAGAGTTAAAAACTGCAAGAAATGATGAAAAATAAAGAATGCGAAGTAAGAATGAAGGGATTTTGATGAAAGATTTGAAGAATCCGAGATATTAACTAACTTACAGTGAAGCAATTAGTGGTTAAAAATGTAAGAGACTTGAGAGAACTTTATTTTTTGACAGGTAATGCCAAACCATGTGCCTAGTGCTGCAATGAGGATTTAAAAACGTGGGAAATAAGGGGCTAAAGGGGGACCCAAAAAAAAAAAAAAACTTGTGAGAAAAACAGCAATGAATCTAATACCATCATTTTTGTTTGTTTCAATTGAAGGACACCAGTTCTGCATGAGCTGAATATGAACTTATGAGATGTGAGAACTGATTCTATACCAGACAATTCCATCGTCAACACATTGATTTCAATTCGTTTGATGTAGCTTCTTGATGTTAAGAAACTTGAGTGAATCTTCATAATTGTAATTTCATTTCTACTTCCTTCAACATCATTTTGCCTTTACCACCTCTTGAAATTATGTACTTGCCTTTCTCATTCCTAAGCATAAACATATTCATGAATTGAGATAAAACTTTTTTGAGAAGATGCTTCGTTAATGTGTTAGACAAATTTAAAAACAAAAATCATAACAAGAAGTATTTAAGAAAACATTTCTTATCATTTATCATATAATTATAAAAGTACTTTGACTCTACTAACTCTGTTTTTTGAAAAAATTTCTTGGTTACGATATTCAATGTAAGTAGTGGTTAAGCAATGGTCAATATTCATGCAAAATTTTCAACAAGCCATGTTCTTCTCCTTAGTCAGAGTATATGCATACTAAATAGGAAGATTTTTCCTGAGTTAATGCTTCCTTCTAGTGATTTGTTGGAGTTTCGAGAAATTCAATTCATAATAGTGGCAGTCATGAAAGCTATCAGGTAACCAGCTATTTTTAATTGATAATATTATGCGATCTCAATTCAACAGTTTGGCAATTTCACATCCACAAATACAAGAAAACAATACCAGAATTGATTACAAGGGAGACAGTTTTTAAAAAAATGAAAGAGAAAACAATTCAAGCCACAACTTGAAAGTAGATCCTAAATCAAAAGAACAATCCATTTTCCATATACAATTTGATTAGAACGTGGGATCTCCAACAAGAAGCAGCAGAAGTGGGAGGCGCATCTTCTCTTGAAGACTCCACATTGAAACGTCACACACAATAATAGAGAAGGGACTGCAGGACAAGGGAAATGGCAGATGCAATGTAAGAAAATTACGTTGAACTACCCACGAAGATTTAAAAAAAAAAAAAGGTTTTAGATAAAATACCTTAATTTGCTTTGAACGGAAGATAAAGAATCCGATTCTTTAATCATTTTGTTTAGAAATTCTTGGGATGTCAGATTGTCTTGGCAAATTTGCCCTCTCTAATTGGCATTCAAAATTTTCCTCATATTAATCAAAGAAAGAGCATAACTATAGGTATGAGGCAACACATTTAAAATAAAATAAATGATTATCTAGATTTAGTTTAAATAAAATAATAATAATAAATTCTAAGTACATTAAAATAAATTATTTTTAAAAATTTTCATATTTTATTTTATAGTTATCTTTCAAATGTTAAAGCATTATAATGCATTGCACGAGGAGTAAATCTAGTTAACCTTATACAATGTGCCAAATGGACCTAATAAAAAGCAAGTTACCTAAAGTATCCATGAGATTTTCATTAATAATAATGATCCTATGTGTGAGTTTGAATTAGCTAATATAGTTGGGGTAAGTAAGGTAATATTGTAATACTCCCAATTTTTTAAGTATGCCGCACAATAGAGTAAAAAACAAGTCACATTAACGTGATTAACTACTTATCATTATCATCCTAAAACCAATAATGTAAAATTAAAGAGAGAGAGTAAAAAATGCCAAGTGCTTTGCAAGCTAACATGAAACTAATATTTTTAAAATTGAACTAGACTTTGAATTAAAAAAGTCAATAGATTATGGTTCTTACTATTCAATTGGTTGGACTGATTGTTAAATCAGTGATAAAATAATTAAATTAATTAAAAATATAAAAATTTTATAAACTAATAAAAACAAAAACATTAAAATGAATAAAAAATTAAAATATTTTTATAAATACATTTTAATAGTATATAACACTTATAATATTCATAAATAATTTAAAGTTTATATTATGTAGTTTTATTTATTTAATATCATTTATTTTTAAATTAGAAAGTAATCAAAATATTTAAAGTTGGCATGGAAAATTACAATCACTTTCTTTGTAAAATAATAAAAAAAATTATTGTAAGAATGAAAACAGTGAAAAAACAAAACTGAGTACTTTTTTGTAAAAAAAAAAAAAAAACTCCAAAGGTTAACAGTGAGCACAGCGCTCAATAAGGCTAAGTCAAACTAATGATGGCTCCCTTCTTTCATAAGTCTCTCTACTCACCTAAAGTCACCGTTTAATATTTTTTACTTTTGTTTTTCCCCCTCTTCGTAACCATCTTCCCATTCTTTCTTTCCATCACATTTCTCTCTCACAGCCGTTTACAAGCTCCGTCTCAAAAACTGATGAGGAAGAAACTAGCGAGAAGCGACGCATGGATGGAGGCTTGCAAATAGGAAGAAGGAAGATTCATGTTGCTCATGGGAAGAGTAAAGATGGCGATGATGACAATAATAGATTTGATTTATGAAGAAACACGAAAGAAAAGCTGAAAGACTGAAGAAGTGAAGAACACTAAAGAGCAAAACGTTGGCTTGACCGAGCCATTCTCAAAGGCGGGTGACGTCAAGTCGATCTGGTCCTGAAAACATTACCCGAAACCCAATAAACCCGATCCAATTTGACCCAACCCAGTCCAGTCATGAGAAAAAAAAAATCCGACCTAAAAAACTAATTTAGACAAACTAAACCAAGTTGTTCGGCTGGGTCAGACCAGACGCAGACTAACCTTCAAGACCAGTAGACTCAGTTTGGCGTTGTGCTTGTATGTATTACTCTTTATATATATATATATATATATGTTTTTTTGCTTTTGAGAATATACACCGACCAAAAGTACGCGGGTTTACTTATTTTAAAACCTAAGCCCAAGTTAATTACCTATCTTGGTTCATTGGTTACTCCTGCCAATGTCAATCCTCAACTTTCTCACCTTCGTCTTCCCTCCTATGCCCCCATTCCCACTTACATTTCCTCTACCCTGTGCGGTGTTCTCTCTCCTTGCTTCGTTTCTCTTTGTTCTGTTTCAAGCTTTTTTTTTTTTTTTGCCGCCATCGATTTATGTTCATCATTGTTATATGTTCGTTGTTGGTGCTTGAGAGTTAGATTTGAACTTTCACATTCATGGTGTTTGAGTTCCTTTTTGCTTTGTTTTGACTACTTCATTAATCCAATCTTGATGAAAACTTGATAGTATGGGATACAAGTCCCATAGTGAATATGATGGGATGCTCAATGAGGTATATAAGTGGGTTGGTTCTCCTACTTTAATAACTTTTAGAATAGAGTTCTCTATCTCACTTAGGTACCTATCAATTGTTATTAGAGCTTTGTTATTGGCGATTTTAGAGAAAGCTACCTGTAGAGTCTTCTGACCAGAAGGAGACCGAGTTAAGTGCATCGGAGTGCAACCGTTAGGACGTCAGCTTTTCGTAGCGGGTCAATCGATGGAGACTTGATAGTATGGGATACCAAATCTCACATTGAATAGTATGGGATGCTCAATGTGATATATAAGTGGGTTGGTTCTCCTACTTCAACAATTAATTTTTGGGATAGGATTTCTCATTCCATTTAAGTACCTATTATCTGAATCTTCTGTTAGTTCTTGTGAGAATTTCTTCTTCATCTTTAAAATATAAAAAAGAAAAAGAGCTTGACTGGTATATCAGTCTTATGTTCCAAGAGACCAAGCCTGGTCTGGGCCAACATCAGGCTTGATTCGGACTTGACCAAGCCTCAAACCATAAAATTTAGCTCGAGGTGTTTTTAGACCAGACTACGGATTGAGAATCAACGGGATCTAACCCAGTGATTGTGCAGCCCTTCAAAATGATGACAAAAACATATATGCTAATTATTAAGGCCTCATGAACAATGAATATGAAAGCAGCAAGAAGAGGACCGATTTATCATTTCTAAAATTATTATGTTTCATATACTTTGATTAGCTTAGAGTTATCAAATTCTTGGAAGAGCTTTTGGAAGCTGGTATTTCTAGAAGACAGTTAAGGCTGGCAAAATAATGTATAACCCAATAGCTTATAGGTTCAGACAAACCACATCTTTAGGAAGGTAATATAGTTTGGCTTGCTAAATAGTGTTAGCAAAGATGATGATTTTCATTTTCTTGAAGTGCCTTCTAGCGAGGTCACTCACCAATTATATCAGAGATAATGTAGGCATAGCTATTCAAGAGGTGTCTTTTCTTCATCACAGGGAAAAGAATACTATAAATCTGGATCAAATTTTGATCCAAACAGATTTTAGATCAAAAGGTGGCGTCAATGATAATTTTAGCCTTGACAGTTTTTAAAAATACAAATTAATCTATATTATTTAAAATTTGATCTGAACAGTTCAGATCAAAAAGTAGAGAGAAATTAAATTCTAGCCATCCCACATCTTTTTTCTTGATCAAAAACAGTGTTTGGGCTTTGTCTTGTGTTCCATACAACAAAAAAATCATAACTCAATGTCCAAAAATAAGTTAATTTTCATCGTAATCACACGGTGAACTGAAAATCACAAGAAAAAGCTCCTTTGTCCTAGCATTCGATAAAATAATTTATAATTACTAATAATCATGCTCAAGAATAATATTTTTATAATATTAGAAAATGAAAAATTACCCTAAAAACTAATGTGTGAAATAGGCATATTCACAAGATTAGGTAAGCAGACAAAGGGGAAGCATCATTTTGCCCCCATGTTCCATCACTTGAAGAATATATTGTGAAGCAATGTTACAGAATTTGTGAAATCCCAGAATGAGGCTATCGATTTGGAAGGATAAGATTATGTGGAATCTGCTACCTACCACTCGTTGCTTAAGGGAGCATCACATGGCTATCCAGGAATCATGTTTTTTTCTGTTCTAGGCAAGAGGAATCTTTCGACCACTTGTTCTTATTCTGTACTTTTTGACAAGCAGTCTGGTTTCAGGGGAAGACCTTCTCACCCCTGCACGTTCTGAACCATGCAATATCCTCTAAGAACTAGAAGAACTTCAGCAACAAGGTGAAAGAAAGTCCTCAGGCAAACGGCTTCCATTTAATGCGAAATTGGAATCAATGTTGAAGTGTCTGCTTGCATCACTGCACATGGACCGGAAAATTTTAACCCAAAGGACATGATTGCACAAAGCGTTAGAAAAGTTTCCAATGGCTACTGCTCGTGAAAATGTGTTGAAGATGAAGAACGTGGATCGTTGCATTAAGAACTAGAAAATGGAGCAGCACCAACACTAATAGATAATTAGAAAGAGTCAGAAAAAATTAGAAGGCTGAACCAAAAAGAAAAAGGTGAAACTACCAGCTAAAAGATAATCCGAGCTGAGTAACTACCTTGAGTTTTGATTGAAGATAAGAACATCAACTCTTTCCTTCGGTATTTTTCTATGGCCGGCCCACCTCCTGTAAAGATTTGAGATTATGAATTCTTTTCAAGCTATCATGTTAGATTATGGAAACAATAAATTTTGTACTCACAAGGAATGGGAGATTTTTTTGATTCAGGTAGGGTTTCAAATTGCAGCAATCTGTGATGATAAGTTTTTGTAGAGATGTCATATTTTCTATCGAATCCGGTAGAGATGCCAAAGTGAAGCAATATTTGATTTCAAGCTTCAGCAAGGAAGTGAGATTTCCTATAGAATCTGGTAGGGATGTCAAAGCAGAACAATATTTGATTTCGAGTTCCAGTAATGATGTAAGATTCCCCATTGACTCTGGCAGAGATTCCAGACAAATGCATTCTCCAATTTCAAGCATGCATAATGATGCGAGATTCCCTATTGACTCTGGTAGTGAATCCAAGGCATATGAACCTACAATTCCCAGCTTCTGCAGTGATGTAATGTTCCCTATTGACTCTGGCACTGATGCCAAAGCAAAGCAATTCCTTATTCCAAGCTTCTGCAGTGAAGTTAGATTCCCTATTGAGTTTGGGAGTGATGCCAAAGCAGAGCAACAAGAGATTTCTAGCTCCTGCAGTGATACAAGATTCCTTATGGATTCTGGTAGCGATGTCAAAGTGAGGCAATCATGGATCCTAAGCTCTCGTAGTGATATGAGATTCCCTATTGATTCTGGTAATGATGTCAAATTAGAGCAACATTCAATTCCAAGAACCATTAAGGATGTGAGATTCCCAATCGACTCCAATAGTGATGCTTGGCAACCTATGATTCCAAGCTTCAACAATGATGTGAGATTCATCAACTCTGGCAATGATGCCAAAGCATGGCAATTCGTGACTTCAAGTTGTCGTAGTGAGGAAAGATTCCCTATTGACTCAGGTAGCGATGCCAAATTAAAGGAATTTGCAATTTCAAGCTTCTGCAGTGATGAGAGATTCCCTATTGACTCTGGTAATGATGCCAAGGCAAAGCAATTCTTTACTTCAAGCTTTGGGAGTAAGGTGAAATTCACTATCGACTCTGGCAATGATGCTAGAGCAGAGCAATTTGTGATTTCAAACTTCCTTAGTGAAGTAAGATACCCTATTGACTCTGGTAGTGATGCCAGAGCATAGCAATATGTGATTTCAAGCTCCCACAATGATGTAAGATTCCCTATTGACTCTGGTAGTGATGCCAGGGCAGAACAATTTTTTATTTCAAGCACCCTCAGTGATGTAAGGTTCCCTATCGACTCTGGTAGCAATGCTAGATCAAAGCAACTTGTGATTTTAAGCTCCCTCAGTGATGTAAGATTCCAAATTGAATCTGGTAGAGATGTTAGGGCAGAGCAATTTGAGATTTCAAGCTTTTTCAATGGTGAAACACTCCTAATCGGTTCTGCTTGTGATGCAAAAAGAGAGCAATCGATGAATTGAATCTCAGACAGTGATGGGGGGCTCTTCACTGATTCTAGTAATGACACCAAACATGTGTTATTATCAATTTGAAGCTTCCACAGTGATGTGAGATTCCATATCAACTTTGACAATGATTCCAATGCATAGCATTTTGTGATTTTAAGCACCCTCAAGGATGTAAGATTTCCGAGGGACATTGGCAGTGATGCTAAAGAAGAGCAGTCTCTGATTACAAGCTTTTTTAGTGATGTGAGATTCCCCATTGATTCTGGTAATGATACTAGAGAGAGACAATTGGTGATTGTAAGCTCCCTCAATGATGTGAGATTTTCCATTGGGAGTGATGCAAAACATTTCCCCCAATAGATATGAAGCTTCAACAACCATGTTAGATTCCCTATCCACCTTGGTAATGTGTTGCCACAATATCGATCCAAACTGAGCCTTTTGATCTTGGGATGTGGTTGCAATGCATCTAAAATTATCTCATCTTTATATCCAGCTTCCCTTTCACTTTCTTCTGACTCTGGCAACCAAATAAGCTCTAATTCCTGAATATATTGCTTCTCAGCAAGTAACTTTGTAGACTCAACCTCTGTTGTATTACCACGTTGGGCTTGCAGGCTTGTGATTATTAGTTTCCCTCTCAGGCTATTGAGCCTGCTCAACTCACTTATCCTTGCACTATTTCTCATCCTATCATCGGATACAAACTTTGTCAACGTTTGCATGTGAGTTAATTGTCCCAATCCACATGGCATATATAACAATGAATTACAGCCCATCAGCTCAAGATGCTTAAGACTAACCATTTTACTGATATCTCCTGGCAGTTCCTTTAATTTGAAGCAGCAATTGAGTTTCAGTGTCTGCAAGTTATATAGCTCAGTAATACAGAGTGGGAGCTCCTCAAAATTGTTATTTGATAAATCAAGATATCTTAGGTGCTTTAACTTTCCTATGATCTCAGGAACTGCTCTAATAAATGAATAGTGTAGATCCAACACCCGTAAGCGCTTAGGGAATGATGTAGCAGAACCACCAAATAATTTACGCAACCTTAACAATGGTGGAAGATGACTTAAGGTAATTTGAATGAATCCGTTAGGTGATAATAGTGTTCTTAATTTGTTTGCCTTGAGCATTGAAGTTGGAACCTTCCACAAAAATGATTTGTTCTTATCAAATGACACATGACGAACCCCATCACCATAGTTTCCATCTTTTCCTTCGCTTATGACAATATATTCATTCTCTGCCACTAACATTGCCAGATCATGTATGAGGTCATGCATCTTGCATGTCCATACATCACCATACTCATTTACTTTAACATCTTGAAAGAAGCATCTTGACAATAACATCATGAAGTACTCATGACCAACATCTTCTACACTTCTACTTCTATCAAATGATTGAATGAACCCTTGGGCTACCCACAACTGAATAAGTGTTTTCCTCTCGAACACAAAATCTTTTGGAAATAAAGAACAATAAGCAAAGCAATTTTTCAAGTAAGAGGGAAGATGATCATAACTAAGTCTGAGAATTTCAAAGATTTTGTTCTCTTCTTGAGCTATTTTTGAAAGTTCACTATCCTTGAAATATATCCAATCCCTTTCTCCCAAGTTTCGTGAGTACAAGAGGCTACCCACAGTCTTTATAGCAAGGGGGACTCCAGAACACTTCTTGACGATGACCTTTCCGATTTCTACCAACTCTCCATTTGGTTCTTCACCATTTCCAAAAGCCACACAAGAGAATAGTTCCCAAGATTTTTGTTCATCTAGGCCTTGCAAGGAAATTGACAAATGGGTGCCCATTATCCTTGCTACTTTCTCACTACGTGTAGTTACAATTATCATGCTCCCATTGCTCCCTCCCATCAGCAAGTGTTTCAATTTAATCCACAATGCACTGTCCTCATTCCAGACATCATCTAAGACAAGTAAAAATCTCTTCCCCCCAATCTTGTCACTAAGATCGTGTTCCACTTGCCCTGTCTGTCTCCCCAAAATCTTTTGAGCCATTTGGTTTACATCAAAAACAGATTCATCACACACAGAGACCCACATTTTTGGCTCAAAATAGTTTTGAACGGCCTTGTCATTGAATACAAGTTGAGCAAGGGCAGTCTTTCCCATTCCTCCGATTCCAAAAACAGAAACTACTGAAACATTGTCTGTCACATTAGAGTCCAATAAGTAATTGATGATACAGTTCCTCTCCTCCTCCCTCCCAATAACCTCATGTTCAGGCACAAAAGAGTATGTTTCTCGCTCCCTATACAGAACTGGAACATCTGGAGCGGAATCGTTGAATTTGAAATCATTCTTAACTTTTGCAAGGTGATCTAGTCTTTTCATGATTCCCTTAAATGCATGACTCATTTTAAGATAATAAGCAACTCGGTTTGACTTGGAGAAGAAAACTCGTACCTCTTTCGCTTTTCTGCGTTGGGTCATAATCTCTATCCTCAAAGCTTCAGCAGACAAATCATCGAACAGGTCATCGGCATCAAGAAAAACGTCTTTAACTTTCACCAGCCAATTAGTAACTTGGAGGTTGGTGGCCTTTCCCTCGGCATCCCTGAGCACGTCTTTGATGGAAGCCACAGTGATCTTCATGCTCTCCAAATCATCTTTGAAGTTCCAAATCAATTTGAAGTCCTCAGCAAAGGGAGAGCTCAGCAGATCAATGATTTTTGAAGCAATTGCGTCCATGGTTTCCAAGCAAATTTAGTTTGACAAAGATGAGAAAAAGTGTTGAACTGTTGGTTGACTGAGTTTGCAGCAGATAATGAGTTAGGTTCGTGTCCTCTGTGATTTAAGGATGAGATGAATAGTGGTCCGACCTTTGACTGTTAGTGGGTTACACCTAATTTTGTGCTTTTCGCCTTTATCTTCTTTTGGAATAATTGATCTTTTCCACTGCAACAAGCGAAAGACTACGCGACACTCACAGTGCCGCTCAGGAAAGACACTCGCATTGTCTCGTATAAATAATTACAAGTCAACTTCATCGCAACAATGACATCTAGAAGTCCACTTTAAATAAGCTCGATATTATCTTACGGCAGTCTAGACTTTGAACTCTTCAATCCTCATTCGCCAAGCAGAATTTGAACTTGCTTTACCAAGTACAACATTTTCATTTTTAACTGGTCTGAGTCTGAGAAGGTGGAATAGGAAGATGCTATATATCGACGGTTTAAAAAACGGAAAATTATCAACTTCCTTAAAACAACTATCAACATCATTAACAATTAAACAGTTTTTTTCAGTTTAATATATTAAATCCAACAATACAATTTCCGTAAACAACGGAGAATTCATGGATAAAAATATTACGAAAGATATGGAAAATGCAAAGAATATTGCGGTATTGGACATAAAATCAGTCTTCCCTCAATTTCATAGAGTTTCTCATAGTCAGGTAGATAGGTTTTGTGCCAGTTGGTTATTTGCCGTAGACATCAACATTTAAATAGTCTTATTTTCAGGAACGTTTCAATTGATTCACTAACTTTTTCCTACTATGTCTACGATCGTCACTTTGGTAGATACAATCTCAACGTAAGGACTATGAATTTTCTACTAGAAATCTTATGATCCTTTGTTTTAAAGAGAAAATTCAAAAGCACAGACACTTTCAACAGGCAACATTATGATACAATGTTAATGGATCTCACCTCCTTATTTAATATATTCTACATAATAGATATTCACGCAATGCGAGAGCTAATCTTCTTAAGTGTTTCCCTTTGGATTTATTTTAATACTTTTGAATTTAGGACTTTTTATTAAATATTTGGTACTCTTTTAATATATATAATGTTTCATTTTTAATTAAAAAAATTAGAAATGTAAAGAAAGAATAACACTTAAAAAGTTAAGTACCCAAAGATCAATTTAATATTAGGTTCCAATTTAAAAAAAAAAAAATGAACTGTCAATATACATTCAAACAGCTATATCTGGAAGCCCAGAAATCAAACGCATTGACGTGTATATGTCCCCCGAGCAGCTCACTACCGACAAGTGCAAGATGCCGAGGCCCGAGGCTTCCTTCATTGTCTTTCGTAATTCAAATTCAAAAATATATAAATAATAAATGTTGAGAAACTTATAATAATTATCGAATAATGATTTAACGCTTAAAATCAAAGTTAATTATTATAATTGAATGATTATTTAATTTGGAACTAAGAATTAAGAAATTTATGCAATAAAAAATAGGGAAATATATAGTGCTGAAATATATATATATATATATATATTTATTTAGATAAAGAATGAATTCTTTCAGGAGAAAAGGGAAAAGATATAAAGTTGCGATTAGCAAGAATTATAAAATCCGAAAAAATATCTGGTCCAAAAAAAAAATCTGCAACAAATATAAAACATGTCGCCTTATTTTTTATCCTTCCATCGCGTCTTCATGCTTGTTTCATGTTGATCCATTTCTACAATTTTTTGACCATAGCAAAATAAGGCATCCAAGTAAACCCTCTGGATCAAAGGTGGATGATGTAGTAAATGCTTGAAAATAAGGGTGGAGGGAGGTGGGGGGGAACTAGAAGAGAAAACTTCTAAAAATGAATTTTTGTTCTTCTAGTTTTCTCTCATATCTATTTTCTTCCTGCTTTCCTTTCCATTCAAATCAAGTCTTGAAGTTGGCCGGGAAAAAAAAAACCAAGTCTTGAAACCTAAGTCATTTTCAACGATAAAACTGACAGAGAGCTAATCTGAAGAATCATTTGTAACCATGATAGTTCAGAATGTGGAAAAATCAGACGACGTAATGACTTGTTGCCATTACATGCACTGATTTGTTGATGCATGGTTCTAATTTTTGAGTTCTTTGTGCAACAGAAACCATCCAACCTAAGAGAACAGCTTCGTAATTTTTCACCTGACAATGCTGTCCAAATGGGAGCTCACTTAGCATGCTTCTAATTTTACCAATGTCTTGTATGGTTTTGATGAAGATGATTTTTTGTATAAGATACAGACAAGTACAATATTTCCTGAGATTAAAACGATAGCCTAAGGCCTAAGCATGATTTCTCTGTTTCAACTAAGAGCAGACAGAATAATCCCAAGTGCCAAAAGCTTGGCATGTACTCATTTCTTCCTAATATTTCTCATACAATTTAAATAAAAAATTTGTAGTTTTACTGATGCACTTGTATACTGAATCATAATTCTTCTTCAGTCATTTGCTTCCAGCAAGGAGGTTTATCTTTTATTGACTTCCTTCCTCATTATTGTTGGCTTACTCTGCACACAATGTTGGATGTGTGTATATATATGTGTCCTTTTTCCCCTTCCCTTTTCCCCTCGTCTCTTGCCACTTGAAAGTGAGAATTTTGTGAAGATGACTATTCTATAATGAAATTATATAGCTCAACCCCTCCAAAAAAGACCTACAAAAAAAAGGACTGTAATGACTTTAAAGATCTAAATGCTCAAGAACAACCAAATTGACAAAAATAACTGAAAGTTAGATGGGAGTTCATCAGCAAAATACACAGAAAGTGGAAGTTGGCCTCCAACAAGAAGCAACAACATTCTCCAAGAAGTAAAGGCTAAAAGAAACAATGAAGATAAAGAATGAAATGTCAGAATGAAGGGGATTTGATGAAAGATTTGAAGAATTTGAGCTATTAATTAACTTACAGTGAAGCAATTCGTGGGTAACAAGGTAAGAGGCTCGAGAGAACTTTATAACCAAGTTTTTGACAGGTAATGCCAAACCATGTGCCTAGTGCTGCAATGAAGATTTAAAAACGTGAGAAATGAGAGGCCAAAAATAAACTTTTGAGAAGAACAACAATGAATCTAATACCACCATTTCTGTTTGTTTCAATTGAAGGACACAAATTCCGCATGAGTTGAATATGAACTTATGAGATGTGAGAACTGATTCTATACTAGACAATTCCATCATCAACACTGTTTTCAATTCGTTTTTTATGTAGCTTCATGAAGTTAGCAAATTGAAGTGAATCTTCATAATGGTAACTTCGTTTCAGCTTCCTTCAACATCACTCTGCCTTTACCACCTCTTGAATTTATGTACTTGTCTTACTCATTCCTAAGCATAAAGATTTTCACGAATTGAGATAATCAATTAATATAAGATCATATATAATTGTTCTCAAGTAGATGACTAGCCCAAGTATATATTTGAAATTTACCGAATGTGGATGTAACAAAACCTTTTTTGAGAAGATGCCTCATTAATGAGTGACACTAATTTAAAAAAAACGTACCAACAAGTATTTAAGAAAACATTTCTTATCATTCAGTGTACAATATATCTATACTCTACTAACTCTGTTTTGCAAACATTTCCTTAATTATAATATTCGATGTAAGTATTGGTTAAGCAATGGTCAATAAATAATTTTAAGAATATCTGAAGGGTAAAGAGTAAGTTGTAGTGACCTTGCATTCATGAAGAATTTTAAGAAGCCATGCACTTCTCCTTAATCAGAGTATATGTAGACTGAGGAGGGAAAGATTTTTCCTGAGTTTACACTTCCTTCTATGGTTATTTGTTGGAGCTTCGAGAAATCCAACTCATAATAGTGGCAGTAATAAAAGCAATCACATAACCATCTATTTTTAATTGATGATATTATGCTACCTCAATTCAGCAATTTGGCAATTTCACATCCAGCAACTACAAGTCCATTTCACCCAATTTCACTCATTTATTATTCCTTTATTTCCGAACAAGAAACATACCTGAATTGATTGCAAGGAGACAGTTTTTTAAAGAATGGGCAAAAAAAAAAAATCCAAGCCACAACATGGACGCAGATTCTAATGTACAAGAACAATCCATTTGACAGTGAAAATAGAATGTGGTCCTTGGAAATAAATTACACGTGATTAGAAAGTGGCCTCTAACAAGAAGCAGCAGAAGTAGGAGGCACATCTTCTCGTGAAGATGTAACATGGAAACGCCACGCACAAAAATAGGTAGAGACTGCAGGATAAGGAAAATGGCAAATGCAACATAAGAAAGTTACCTTGAATAACCCACAAAGAGAACAAAAAAGTTGTAGATAAAATATCTTGAGCTGCTTTGAAAGGAAGATAAAGACACCGATTCTTTATCAACCGGAAATGAACACTCTTGGGATGTGAGCGATTCCTGGCCAATTCGCCCTCTCTAATTGGTGTCCAAATCTTTCTGTCAAAGCAGAGCATCCTGTGAGTGTAAGTTGTTGCAATGATGACAAACTCTCTATTCAATTTGGAAGTGATGACAATGCAGAGAAATGTTTGAGTGTAAGTTGTTGCAATGATGACAGACTCCCTATTTAATCTGAAAGTAATGTCAAAGCAGAGCAATGTATGAGTGTAAGTTGTTGCAACGATAACAAACTCCCTATTGAATCTAGAAGTGATACCAAAGCATAGCAATGATAGATTGAAAGATGTTGCAATGATGACAAGCTCTCTATTGAATCTGGAAGCGAAACCAAAGCAATGTATCCACCAACAAATAGCACTTGGAGTGATCTGAGACTCCCTATCCAATCTGGTAACCATTTGCCATAATATCCATATATGCTCAATGATTTGATTGTGTGAGGAGGCTCTAAAGCTTCTACAATTATCCCATCCTTATCGTGTACATCTTCTTCACTAAATTCATTTTGGGTTTCTCCATGTAATGACCACTTTAGCCACAATTTACGAAGATATTGCATGCCATTTAGTAACTTCACTGTCTCAACCTCCTTTACATTACTCTGCTGCCTTTGTAATTTGGAAATGACTACTCCCCCCCTTAGGCCTTTGAGATCATGCAGCTCGCTTATTCTTGCACCACCTCTCCTTTCGTCCACCACAAATGTTGTCAATGTTTGAAGATTAGTCAAGCAACCCAAACCACATGGCATATATTCCAACATATCACAATCAT